CCTTATTACTTTGTTGGGTCTAGACAAAATTACAAGTTTCCGTAATAATCCCATGCCTTTGGACACATTTGACACATATGGTGGCATGTACGTTGTATATATGACATAATATGTACTATGCTCCACACCTCAAAGTCCCACCACGCGACCACGTATGGAACGCAGTCTTTTGAAACTTTGGCATTTAAGGCTTTTCAGGTTATGTATCTGTCAAAGTATAGTCAACGAAAGAAATAATATTTATAGTGTTACCGCTTATGTTTAAGCGTTAAAAGTTAGTATCACAATAAAAATGGTTGGTTTAAGAATTTAGGAATATAAATACTGCATTTAATAAAATTCTAAAGTGTATGGTGCCAAATAAGTAATATTTTTGTGCATTGGGTCTATATTTCTCCATAAAATAGTTTTAACTAAACCGCATTTATTAAAAAAAAATCAAACTTCTCTATTATGGAATAAGAATATCTGTATCAAAGGTAGGTTAATGTATTAGAACAAAAAATATAATATAATTTTGTATTTTAAGGTTAGAAAAATCTATTTTGACCAAAATAAATAAGTGGATTAGGTATTTGGAAGAGTGTGTTAATAAAGTCATAAATAAATATAGGTAGGTATACTAAATAATTGTTTAACATAGTTCAAATTACATTAAAGCTTTTATACTTCTAACGACAAAACTTGTGCATACCTCTCAGCATAGTATATGCTGAGCATACCTACTTTAAGTTACATTATAAGAAAACAACCAATTTTTAGAGAAACTTGCAATGTGAAAATATTTAATACTTCCATGACATGTGATTTATTAAAATTTTTAAAGTTAAAATGCTTTTCTATGTAGATCAGATTCAGTTGAAGCTTTATAACTATTTGTATTGACAAAACTTTATGGATTAGAAAAACTACCACATTTTTAAATATCATATTATACAGTCTTTCAAAAAATCCAAAATAGGGTACTTATTTATTTTGGTCAAAATAATTTTTTCTAACCTTAAAATTACAAAATTAGATATTTTTGTTATATATTAACCTACCTTTAATACAGATATACTTATTCCATATTAGAGAAGCTAGATTTTTTTTAAATAAATGCTTTTAGTTAAAATTATTTTATGGGGGAAAACCAGATATTTGGACCAAATGCACAAAAATATTACTTATTTGGCACCATACACTTTAGAATTTCATAAAATGTAGTATTTACATTCCTAAATTCTTAAACCAACCATTGTTAATGTAATGTTATAAAAATTTATATATTTTTAACGCCTAAACATAATATTATTTCTTTCGTTGACTACACTTTGACAGATACATAACCTGAAAAGCCTTAAATGCCAAATTTTCAAAAGACTGCGTTTCGTACGTAGTCACGTGGTGGGACTTTGAGGTGTGGAGCATAGTACATATTAGGGTGTGCCAAAAAACCTCGATATTTTTTTTTTCTTGCTCTCAACCCAAAATATCGTAGAATATGTCCGAACAAATATTCTGTTAAAAGCGGAGCTCATAATTTCAATTTTAAGAGGTCCTCCATCGAATCTGAAGTTTTGCCGCTTAAATAACACAGAAAACTGACTTTTTTACCTTATTTATTCTTGCAACCTAGGAAGAAATTTTTTTTTCATAAAAACCATGATCAAATCTTACAAAGCATTAAATTTGGAAGAAAAAATCTTATTAAGCCGAATTTCTATTTTCATTATTTGATTTTTTACAGAGCTTTAAATTAAAAATTTTACGTTTTTTGCCTTTTTCAGCTAAACTATTTAAGTTAGACGAAAAAGTCAAATGGCAATTTTTAAGCTTGTCTGATGGACCACAAAAAAGTTTTAGGCGAATTTTTTGTATCGTCAATATTCTTAAAGTTACAGGCGTATAAAGTCATCATTTTTGTATTATTAACTTTAAATTTAAAGCTCTGTAAAAAATCAAATATTGAAAATAGAAATTCAGCTTAATAAGATTTTTTTGTCCAAATTTAATGCTTTGTAAGAATTAGTCATGGATTTTATGAAAAAAAAAATTCTTCCTAGGTTGCAAGAATAAATAAGGTAAAAAAGTCAGTTTTCTGTGTTATTTAAGCGGCAAAACTTCAGATTCGATGGAGGACCTCTTAAAATTGAAATTATGAGCTCCGCTTTTAACAGAATATTTGTTCGGACATATTCTACGATATTTTGGGTTGAGAGCAAGAAAAAAAAAATATCGAGGTTTTTTGGCACACCCTAGTACATATACAAGTTGTATGATACGTGACGAGTGAACCCTGTGATCAATGATATTTTGTTCAAATCATAAATTGCATAAAATATGTAAATAAATAAAATTGTTTGCAATTTTCCCCTTACACCAACGTTGTGTTTTTAAAGCCCGGATGCGCTTATTGGAGTATAGACATCTTTATAAAGAGTTGTATTTTAAAAGAAATTTAAATATTATTTTAGTATTTCCTAAGAATTGTAAAACATGCATAAAACTCAATGAACCCTTTTGTAGTTCTTTTACAATGTTACTACTATGTCCTGAGTATATAGACAATTAAGTTTGTCCTTAATTGCCAAAATCCCCGTGTAGTAAAGTTTATGCGACCAAAGTGTACGAAGTTAATTAATTTATAGAGGCCCGGTTAAAGTAATGTTCGTGTATGAATTTTAAGACCCGGACATAAAACCTAATATATTGCTTGGTGACGTTTATTGGCTAACTTGGCAATTTATTAGTTCACGCAAACATCTATTGGTATTCGCGACACCAACTTAAATGGATAAACGGCGTAAACTGTCTATTATTTTTAATAAAGCGCTGCTCCACTGGATCCACTTTACACCGTTCATGAATATTTATTGTCCAAGGAAGTATACTGTTACAAGTCCGATATCCATTTTCAGAAAAGGACTGAAGTATTGATTCAACAATTTGTTATTTACTTTTTTCTGCTTGCACTAAAATCAAAAAGGGGTTGAGTCCAATAATATCTGAATTTATTGCATAAGAAGAATGGGTTTCATTAAGGGAGGGCAGATTGTTTATTAGAAAACTCTAGGGGCCGATTTCTAATATAGATGTTATCGAAAAACGCATTGTTCCAGAACAATGCGAGAAACAGGAGCCCGGAGAAAGGGGTGGCCTCTCTTTGGCCAAGAGCTTTCCTGCCTCAGGTGGTCGTTAGTAGACTTGGAAATGGCTTTTACTTCATTAAGATCTTGTTTAACTCTGTCCGAATCCCAAGCCACAAGCTCATGTTTCGATTAAACTTCTAGATTGAAATAATTTGAGTTTGCTGTCCTTTAAAATTACATAAGGAACCATGTAGTTTAACTTTTGTGAAAAGTAACGAAATCTCTATTGGAAAATTGTTAATACATGGAGTGTGTATTTTTAAAATATAAAAATATAACAAAAAACTACTAAGAATAAAAATGTAATTTGTTGTATACTTAAAATAGCGTGATATGGTGTCATTTTCCAGAAACCCTGTATAAACATAAACATTTTGAGATGTGCAATGAGACCATGGACCTTTTTGATTTTTGTTTTTTTTTTAAGTATATTATAGTAGAAGATCAAACATATTTATCTTAAAAATTAAGCTCTGCATGGAAGCTAAAGTAAAGAGTTCTTCGTGCACTACTACAACTGAAACTGAAGTGTGATGGTTGACAGGTTTATTGCTACCTGCCTCACAACCCTTACTTATATTATTTATCTTTATAAATAGTTTTCAAACGTTATTGTGTTTTATGAATAAATGCTTTTTTTTAAGTACCCTGTAAGGGCACTTTAAAGAGAGCCGTACCGACTCTACGTATGTCGAAAAACAGATTTTTAAAATTTTAAATTGATGATTTAAGGTCGGAGAGACTAGTAGTAGTAAAGTAGTAAAATAAAAGTCTAAATCGAAGTAATTTCAAATATTATTTTTGGATCCAGTATTGCAATCGCACATTTGGTATTTGAAATTGTAGTTTTAAGACGTTTATTATAACTAAGAACTTTTCTAAATTCCGAAAAACATAATTCTAAACTCCTTTCGGTATCGCACTATATTATTTATTGTTTAACGTTTAATTTATATTTTTTACATATTTAGACAACATACATTTAGACAACATTATCTTCTTAAAATGGCTCAAATATTCATAATGGACTTAAATTATATTTAACAGCAACAAGACAAACTTTTATTTTACTAAATTTTAGTTTCTTTTAGTGCATTCGTCAAGGGAGAGTTGGTATTGATCCGTTTTCGTTCCGTCTTAACACCAGTCAGTGAGGGGCATAACACGAATAGAAGTAAAGCGGACGGTTGCTGGCCCTTGGTTTTCTTCCATGTAACATTACCATTTGTTAATCACGGGTCCTGATAGCCATCGCACGAAAACCAACAATTACTGACCGCGGAGAAGTCGTTCAAAATAAGATAAAGCCCCCGAAATCCCTAACTAGACGTTGTGCAAACTTGTACAACTAGAGATTAGAATTATTATTCAGAGATTAGGCCCAATTCTGTATAAGGTCAATTAGGAGAGCTGACCTCTCTTCTACAATGGTTTACTGCGATTTGATGCGAGTTGTGACTCACTGTTTCTAAATAAGGCTGTTTAGAAAATGTATTTTTTACAATTTTTTAAGTCATAAAGTTAGTACAGAGAATAAAATAATAAAACCAACATTCTTTGTGTCGGTAAAAGTTTTCACTTAAGGCAAATGAATTTCCCTCCCTAAAACTTCAAGTGTTCGTGATCACATACAGTTTCATTACGCAATGTATTCATCACACGAACATTTCATTTTCCAAATGGTATTGTTTGTGTAAAAGGAAAATTCAGAAAGTAAATTAACCTATAATTATAATGTATGTGCTAAATGAGATATTAATTGTAAAATGTATGTACTTACTTTATATGACCATGTATTTTAATAATTAAATTCATAATAATATATGACAAGCTTGTAAATAAAACAAGTTTATAAAATAATCTATAAGTCTTTAATAAATTGTCTAGTAACAGATAAAATATGAACAAGTTTTCACAAATCAACAACCCCTTATTTCGCAATACTTAATTTATAATAATTTTTATATGTTTATAAATAAAACTCTTGTTAACACAAAAATATGCTACGTTAATTTAAATAATGTATTTAGGACAAGAACGTTCTAACTGTGGCTTTAATGGCCGATCTACAAACAGGACAAGCCTCTAAGTTCGGAGCACAATTCACACAGGTGGCCAAATGTCCACACGGCAAGAAAACTATACCTACTTCGATGTCCATGCAGATCTTACACAACCTGGCCTCTTTTAGTTGACGATTTTCCTCCTCCAAAGTAACAGGTTTCGTATCTGTTTGAGATTTAACTGAAGTAGGAGTTCTTTCTTTAACATTAATTTCTAGATCCAAAGTATCCATTGGCATGTATGTATTTGGCTGAGGAATTTGTCTAATTTGTCTACGAACATTAGAAGAATCATCGGTTTCAGTAATAGAATCATCTTCATCGTGTTGTAGGTTTAACGCTGCTTCTACAAGAGCATCAGGTTGGGAGTAGGATCTCCCAGTTTGCTCCAACTTTTCTCTAATTGCACGTTTAATTCTTTCTAGATTTAATCCTATATTTAAAGCTGCAATAGCAACGGGACTTGATATATGTTCCTGTACTTCCCTTTCGGTCACTTCCCTTCTTGCGATTACAGGCTTTGGCACCGGTTTTTCCTGCAACAAAAATTATAATATTAATAGGATACAATTACAATTAACTAAAGACCTTTCTCTTAATGAAAGCAAAGGTCTTAGAACGGCCTTCCCTTCAACGACCTTCAAATATCATAGAACACACTAGAAGAATGAGCAGCGGCGTAAAGATACAAAACTAGTTTTTTAAATTATTAATTATTTACAGACATAATTCGATTCCCACGACGAAAAAATTCCAAGAGAGGCGCTATCAAAACAAGAATAATTTCGAGATAAAGCCGTCTTTGATCCATCTTATTTGATAACCTTCATTGAGGCCGGCAACTGGTTTATCCAACCATTGTTGCCACATTAAATGTATGTACAGGGTCTCGCAGAATAAACGGATGAATTCGGATCGTATGTTACTCCCATATGGGTAAAGATATAAAAGCTTTGAATATACGTAAGTTTAAAAAGTTCTGGTATGCTTCTCTTTTGGGAAAAAGTAGTCAAAAAGTAGCTTGTCATAATTTAAGCTTATCGTCATTTAAGCTTTTCATCTTTTTATAAATATTTATATCGTTTACTTTTTATCTATTAAAGCACTTCGAAAAATGAACTATTAGGTTTTTAACAGGAAAACCATAAATAGTTAATACACAAATTTAAATAAAAATCGTTCCTACTTTACATATTTTTTCCAATTGAAATACCATTTTGAACACTTGACATCAATGTAAAATACCTTTGTTAAAAACTCAGTACCTGCGGTCGGACAAAGGGTTATTAAAGTAGACCATCCGTAAAAAGAATCTGTGCATCGTTAGGCTGAAAGAAACCAATTTGGCACGTGTATCATCAATTAGGGCGAAACATGCAGGAAGATGTTAAATTGATAAAAACTGTTAATTGGATTTTGTAGCATTCCCAACAATTTTATTTAATACACATTAGAAATTTCGAGTCATATACAGTGTGTTTCATATAGCATTCCAATACTGAAGGGTCTTATTTCGTGTATGATTTTAAGGAAAAAAGATTATTTCAACTGAGATCGACAGAAAAAATTAAATATTTATTTTTTTTCTGTCGATCTGAGTTGAAATGATCTTATTATGTTTACCACTTGTAAATTTGCACGGTTATGAGTGACCGTAAAAAATACGTAAAGTTGAAATCATCTCAACTTTACGGGTTTCTTATGTGTGAATTTTAGTAATTTTCATGATTTCACTAGAACATTGTTGGTAGCAATCAGGGCAGTAGCCATGCAAACAGATGACAGATGTTTTTTAAGTGTATTCTGGTGTATCCAGAGAACAAACAATCTAAATAATAAAATAAAAAAATAAAATAAAGAAAGAACCATTCCTCATTCTAAAGTTTTAGTTCAAGTATTATTCGACGAAATTCGCAAACTTCTTCTCTTTGCCAACGTATATATCGCTCATTACACCAAGGTTATGATAACACTGATAGTTTTAACTTAATTTATATATACATTTATAATTACTTTGTCTTAAAACTTTTTAGACATAATAATTATAATTATAGACGAAAGCTGTCAATGCTGTCATTTTAGTGAACTTAGACATACGCGCCTTATTAAGACATACATAAGGCATACGTCCATTATAAACACAATACTATGTTTACGTTTTATGGACATCTTATGGTTACGTCCATTATGATTCATAATTTATGAATGAGCACTTAACCCTTCTTTTTCCTGGGTAATTTGTTGTTAGGAAAACATGGATAATAAGGTGGCCATGGTTGTTTTATTTTATTTTTTATATTATTAGTATAGCTTCATCAAATACATTAAAATATACAGTAGAACCTGTTAACTCGCGGATATGAAAAAATTCATAAAGTAAAAAAAAAGTAGCCCAGTTTACTAGACGGGCGATCTATTAGCTTTGTGCAGTTTTTAAGGGTTTTTATAAGTACTGCAAAGTAAAAAAAACCTCTATAATTCATCTGCTATAAAGAAGGAAGTAAAAACATTATTAATATATGTCTACATGTAGCCAGAAAGTCCGCCTGCAGTATAAAATCGAAACGTAGCATTACTTGCAGGCGCATTAAAATAATGATGTTTACAAATAGTAAAGTCAAAACGATCCACCGTTCATTGCCTATTTGCGTGATGGTCATCGATTCATCACCATAACATTAGCCATTTTCATCCTGGGTCATTGAAAACCACCGACTATGCCTGTCTTTCAGTTCGGTTTGTTTGTTTGTACTTTACTTAATACATAAATAACGAATGCTTTATTTTCTTTATGTGTGTATTTTGTTCGTTTCAAGTTTGACTAGCCAGCTTTTAGTTATTTGGTTTGTTTTGTTAAAAGTTTACTTTTTGTGTGGAAAGCAATACTCATTACTAAAGTTATTTATTTACAATACATTTGCTTAGGACCCCCAAAAAAATCCTTAATCTATTTGGTATCAGGTTTTACGACGTAAAAATATAATAAAATTAAATAAACATAAGCAGGCAATAACTTTTGTTGTGACATTGTTGACGTAAAATCCCGGTTATACGCTCCAATTCTCTGTATCTACAAGTTATGTTTATTTCTATTTTATTCCTCTCCTTGTCATGTTTAACTTTGATTTATCGCATTTTACAGATTCTCGAATATTTTAAATACAACAGAATACTTTTAGTTTGCTCGAAGTTTTCTAGATATAACGTTATTTCAACAATTTCAATTGCATTATTAAAGGTACATATTTAAGTGTGGATTATGCAAATAAAATTATTATTAAAATTAGTAGCGTATAGTTAAAATGCCGCTGCAATAACAAATCGCGCATTCCAAATGATTCATAATCATCTGTTTGCATTGTCACAATCAGCAGACAGTTTTCATAATTTTATTAATGTTAATAAATAATACAAAGGTCATCTGCACGATGTATTATTAATGTGATTTATTGTTCGTAGGGACTTTGCCTCATAAACAATCTAGTTTTTTTAAATTTGCGTTAAAAAATGCGCTATCCCTTTACAGCTGCATGCAGTAGCACAGTGCAATTCTAGTTAAATACAAATACGAACTGCATGCAATACTAAATAATTATTCCTTGGATGGTTTTAAGAAAACAAGAAGATAATGGGGGTTAATTTTAAAAACTAGAAAATTGTGATAAACTACTTCTTTAATAAATGTTAAATTATTAATAAGTGCAAAACCTCGTATGTAAATGCACAAAGATTTTACAGGATAAAAACTTTATAATAAGTATAGATAAAAGAGTTTCAAATTCTATCTATCAGTTCCTATTATTGTGAATATGATATTATTTAAATCAATTTTGGTAACACTAAAATGTATTTATAAAAATCCCAGCTGATCCTATTTTAAAGTTTTGCAAACTTTTTTGTTTTTCTATTTCTATATAATATTCTGCAATTATTGTACTAAAACTACCTGTATAATTTTAATAAAATTAAGCAAAATAATAAACTTTGTATCATTTAAATTACTTTACTCCCCGTATTAATTTATTGAGTCACCTATTATTTTTTACCCCTCAAAACAAAACATAACAAAAAATAACAAAGATTTATATCTTAAATATTTTTTATAACAAAAAATACTGGAAGTTTGTCTATGAAATAATTACTAACTTGCAAATTTTGTAAAACAATAATTAAGGTGGTTATAAAAAAAATTGCTATAAGTTATAACGCAAGTGACATTTTGCTTTAGTTGTTTATTTAATGTATACTTTATAAAGTTAAAAATAGTATTTTAAAATGAAAATTAAACCGAAATTCAAGTTAAGCCATAAAGAAAATCGAAAGAAGGTATGCACGGAAAAAAAAATTAAATTAAATTTTACAACAACCATATTGTAAAAAAAATGTTTAATTATTTAATACAATTGTTTTGAAATTAACTAAAACTAGCATTTATATCGACGTATAATTTATTTAAAGTACACAATTTTGGAGCACGGCAAATCTGTATTATTTTACTAATAAAGAATTGCATTAGTCATTACAATATTTTATTAAAATATATAACAATATTAATTTAAAACAGAAATTGTAGTAATTTAACTACAACATATAATTATATCTTTAATAAATTGTTGTTTATTTTTATTACAAAATTGTTAAATTATTTCTAACAAATTGTTCTTGGTCGTATTTTTTAAACAATTTCTACCAGAAAATTCTACAATTCACTGAGAGAACGAAATATTTGTTAATAACGAGGCACGTTAACTATTAACATATCGTTGAGTTGGATATGGCGAAAGAAATATTAATTTGGGTCTAAGAACTGGTTAAGTTGAATTAAAGAAGCTCATAACGTATTAGCAAATGTAGATATATTAACTGTTAATATATCGAAATTCCATTTTGTAAAAAACTACGGCAACGTCACATGCTTGCGCATATTGCATTTAAAATTATGTTGACAAATGTTAAAACGTTTTATTCGAATTTAGGTATATTAACTGTTAATATATCACAGTTCTAAGACAACTTTATCCTTTATTTGTCTGAAACACAGTCACCGGACGATGTTTTAATAATTAGTATATAATTTGTTCACGATTAAGAAATTTTTTAATAGTTAACAAATATTTTAAAAAAATCGCAACTGTTTTGATTTCTTAATATTAAATATTTCGTTTTCTCAGTGATTGTAGTACTTTCCACAATTTTTTTTTTCCGTGTGTGCTGGCTGTGGAGACAAAATTGTTTTTGGTAATTCAGAGTTTAGGGTTTCTGAGAAAATATAAAAATTACTGCAGACTTTTTCAAACGAACACTTTAACTTAAGTAATTCAAAATTACCTACTTCAATATGGTAAAAACGGTATTTTTGCATAGCCACAATTGCCAAATTTTCAAAATTTTGAAATTGCTAGAGAATTTCGCGGCAGCCAAGAATGTATGTGCTTTATCTGCAAAATGGCAAGATATAAAGGGCATAAAAAATTATTAAGGGAAGAGGACGGACGAACGAACTAAAGTTTTGATATGCTCTTCCTTTCTAGGGGAT